CCTCTGGTCACGGAATGCTAGCCGCATTAAGAAGAGTGAGCCAAGTCCCTTTGCACTGATGTGAGAGACGGCCAAGACCCACTGTCGATTGATAAAAGCCAGTTGTTTTTCAGGCATTTTCCCCCAGGCTGTCCTGTTCTCACCCGTTCTGGCCCCAGCGTCCTCTTGTCTGCCCCCTGGGAGCACAGGACACGGCCTGGGCATCAGGGCAACATTTGGACCCCAATGTCCAGGCTCCTGTTGGTGTTGAGGAGGGTGGGTATGATATCTCTTGAGCCCCCAGAATTATCTTGTGGAGTCTGCACTCTCTCTTTGGATGGTGGGTTTAGGATGCCCACTTTACAGGGGAGAGGCCAGAGAACTGGCGAGTTCAAGGGCACCAGCGGGCAAGTGGAGGAGCCCTGGGTCCCAGCTTGTGCTGCGTAATGCCATGCTCTTTGCTGCTCTGGCCCTGGTCCCCCACCTTTGCTGTGGGTTGTCGGGGGGTCAGGGCTGGCTAGACAGCTGGTGAGGGTGGGTAGGGCACGTAGAATCCAGACACCCATCCTTTATGCTGTGGAGCGCTTGTAGGAACTACCATTTTCCCGAGAGGCCACCATGAGTCTCCCGCAGGCTACATCCAGGCCTGTAGATGTGTTTAGTTGGCTCACGCAGTAGGTTTTTGTTTTTTTTTTTTAAACTGGGTGCCAACATTTAAAAAGTTGAGAGCTCTTCCATGAACATCAGAGTTTTGAAAACAGGCCGTCAGCCCTGGGCCACATTCCCACAGCCACAGTTGGCTGGAGCTGAGAGCTGCTGTCTGGAGTGCGGGCTCCTTACTCCTGCGCAGTTGCCCTCTGGCCCTCTTCACTCAGGGACAATATCTGCCTGGCCCTGTGAGCATCTGAGCTGGAGAATCGCCCCCTCCCTGGTGCCTCTTCTGATCTGAGCCGCCTCAGGTCAGCCAGCTGTAGTTGACATAGTAACCATTGCCATTCACTGTTGATAGATAAGGAAACTGAGGCCCGGAGCGGGAGAGACTCTGGCAGGGCCCTGGCGGGAATTAGTGCTAGAGTTTGGACCTGAGCTCCAGGTGTTGGTACCAGAGCCTCCGATCTTCCCTGGGCTCTGCTCCTTTTGGTCCTGGGCCATTTCACCCTGAACTCTGTCTCCTTCCTCCTGGGCAGATGCTGACCTTCATCATGCTCGCCCGACTGGCTACCCTGTGTCCCGCACCTGTTCTGCAGAGAGTGGACCGGCTCATTGAGCCACTCAGGGCCACCTGCACCGCCAAGGTACCTCCCCATGTCCCCCACCCCACTTAGCCCTGGGCACCCCTACAGATTCCTCACAGTTACCATTTATAGGTGGTGATTGAAGTGCTTCATTTAATCATTGTCATAATCCTATAAAGTATTTCTTAGCTCTTCCATACAGAAAGGGAAGTGCAACTCACAGTGAGGACCTGAAGTCACAGCGCTTACAGGGCGGAGCCATTTGAACCCAAGACTGTCCAACCCCAATGCCAAGCTCTTAACCTCGACACTGGACTCTTCAGGGGGGAAGAGTCTTTGTCTGGGCTAAGTCGGGGGGACTTGAGAGGAATTTGGACTTTATTCCCTAAGGAGTGGGGCAATTCTGAGATTCTCTGAGTAAGTGGGAGAGGGTGGGAGATGAAGAAACAGGCAGGCAAGGCAGTTTGAGGGGTTTCCCATGCAGAGTAGCTTGCAGGGGTAGGCACCTGAGTAGGGGGCACAAGGCCAGCTAGGTGACTGTCACGGTGACCCAGTCATTGAGTTGAGTCATATGGTACCGAGAGCCTGTTTTAAGCACAGTAAGAGTTAGGCTGAATCCTCCTGCCAGGGGAAGGAGATAACTAACTGAACACTTTATAGCATTTGTCACCATCCAATTATTTATTAATAAAAAGAAAGGTGGGCAGTTTAGATTGGTTGGTCAGAGGCCTCCTAGGTGACCTTGAAGTTGATTTAATGACAAAGAATCTTGCTCTGGGGAAACCCGCCAGGGTAAAAGCACAGAAGAAACCTCAGGAGGCTGGAACCACAGAGACTGAAGTAGGGGAGTGTGCTGTGATTTAAACTGGGAGGGATTTTACAGGTGGGTTGGAGGAATCCAGAGACCAGTGAGGCAGCTGTGGTGCGAGGCTAGGTTCAATAAAGGATGGCTTGTTGTTGTTTCCTACTTTAGGTCAAAGCCGGTTCCGTGAAGCAGGAATTTGAGAAGCAAGACGAGCTGAAACGCTCCGCCATGAGGGCTGTGGCCGCCCTGCTGACCATCCCGGAAGTAGGGAAAAGCCCCATCATGGCTGACTTCTCTTCCCAAATCCGAACCAACCCCGAACTTGCTGCCCTCTTTGAAAGCATCCAGAAGGATTCTGCTTCAGCCCCCAGCACAGACTCGATGGAGCTCAGCTAGTCCTCCCCCTGCCCCCAGGTGGGCCCTTACTCAAGAGAAGGGCGCCTACCCAATCCCCAGGCCTCACCGGTCCCCCTGCCTGCCACAAGCCCTTTCATCTCCCTGGGGGCCCTCCTGCTCCTGGTCGGGGCTTACAGTGCCTTCTCCAGGGACCCCAACTCGAGGCCCCCAGCAGGAGCTGCAAGGCTGCCAACAGTTGGGCCCTTTAACTCAGGACAGTCATTCAAAGAAACAGGGCAGCCCTTCCGAACAAACACGGATGTGTGACTGTGACTTCACATGGGGTGGAGGTCTGTACCTTCAAAGCGGGGAGTCCCTGCCTCACAAAGGACTAAGTGTTTAGAAATACTCTTGTGCTCACAGTTGCGGAAGGTTAGGAGGCAGCCGGCTGACCTTCCTGCCCACCAGTGTCCCAGAATTGTCATTCACACCTCTCCCACTTTTCACTTCACTTGATCTAATAGGCAAAACATTAGTGCTTCAGCTGGGCATCTTAAAGACTCAAGCTCCTTCTCTGAGCTGTTCACATTTTAGAATTCAAAATGCTTTACTTTCTAATTGGCAGTAATGAATCTGAAATTTGGTTTTTTGCAGGGGGAGGGGGTCAGGATAGGGAATTAGATCTAATTTTTTTCTATTTTCAAAACTCTTATATAGCCAACTGGGAAATAAACACAAAGAAAGTACAGACCACCTTTCATGTCACCCACCAAGGTGTAACCAGTTGGTTTGTGTCCTTCTAAGGAAGATTTTGAACATGTTGTTTCTAGTTTTTAGTATCTAAGACACAAATATTAAGCAATAGGCTAAAGAATTTTCTGTGCTATCCCAGGTTAATAAAGGAGAGATCCTAGTGTTACGTTTTCTCTGCACACTTCCTCTACTCAGTAGACCGCTGTTAGTATACTTCCCAAGTCAATTTAAAGAAATTATGAAAACGACCAACAGTTAACTCAAATGTTTCAGACTAGGCTTTGAACTGGAGGCAGGCAACCTGTAATTTACCTAACCAATTTAAGGGACTTAAATCCACTCATGGCTAGCATGCCAAAATTGTTTAAGCAGGCTAGTATTTCTGTTCAGTTGACCAGGCTGGTAGGGAAAAAACAAACACCCTATAAGCAATTGTCTTGTTCTGGAGTATCATGCCATATCCCATGACTACTGCCACTCGCTACCAATTCTTAGAGAAGTGCGATCATAACCTAATAGACCTGCCTCACTTCATTGTGCTTTGCAAATATTGAGTTTACAAATTGAAGGTTTATGGCAACCCTGTGTTGAGCCAAGTCTATCAACACCATTTTCCCAATAGCATTTGCTCACTTCCTGTCCTATTTTGTTAATTCTCAGAATGTTTCACCTTTTCATTATTATGGTGATGTTATCTTTGATGTTACTGCTAGTGCCTGAAGATGTGACTGAATTGCTACAATCTCATGAGAAAACTTTAATGGGGTTGCTTCTTAGGAACAAAAAATTTGAGATGCTAGCTACTCCTGGTGAAGATGCTGTGGAAGATTGTTGAAATAACAGAGGACTGAAGAATATTACATCAACTTGGTTGATAAAACAGTGGCAGGTTCTGCGGGGACTCCAATTTTGAAAGCTCTCTGGGTGAAGTGCTAACAGTATCATGCTAGAGAAATCTTTCTTGGCTCAGTCAGTGCAGTAAACTTCATGGTCTTAATTTTAAGAAACTGCCACAGCCACCCCAGCTTTCAGCAGCCACCACTCTGATCACTCAGCAGCCATCAACATGGAGGTTAAGACCTTCCACCAGCCAAGATTACAACTCAAAGATGTTTAGCACTTTTGCAATAAACTTATTTTAAAATTAAGGTATGCATTGTCTAGACATGCTATTGCACATAATAAATTAACGGTATAAACAGAACTTTTATATGCACTCGGAAACCAGAAAATGCGTTTGACTTATCAGTGGTTTGAAACCGAACTGGACCTCAGTATCTCAAGAGGTATGCCTGTAATTCACCCAGCTAAATTCTAGCTTTTGAGGCCTAAGGCTTAGGGCTAGTTGAAAAGGCAGCTTGATCGTTAAATCCTGAGTACTGATCAAGAGGCCCAAGGATCCCACACCTTCAGAAACTGCTGTTAAATTACCTGAAGCAGCAAGCTGGGGGAGGGTTATAAAAGGGAGACCAAAAGTTATCTTCGGACATCCAATGCTGATCGTAGAGGGATTTGTGGGTCACCCTGTCATATTTTTGCTCAGAAGCTACCTCACAAGGACTACATACAGTGACCGTCATCCAAAAATTTACAAAGTGGGGCTAAGGAGGACTACACTTGCTCTGAGCTGCAAAGTCCTTCAATCAAAGGTCTTAGAACCGTCCTTGGTCTGAAGCCCAAGTCTCTTCTCCAACCCCTCTTCCCTAGCCCCAACTGGAGCTGACAAGGCTGCTCTGGGCACCAGAGGCCTGTACCCTTTCAAGAATTAAGTATCCTTTATAAACCCCTTCCAAATGGAGGATTCCACAGAGCATTAGTCAGCACAAGAATAATCTCCATGACTAGTTGTCAGAGAAACCAAAGAGTAAAACCAAAGAGGCAAATGCCAGATGGTAGTTTTATGGTTTTATTAACACAAATATGACGTGCACAACAAGTCGTCTATTCATTTTCTTCGCTGCGCAGCCTGGCGTTGGGATTGGTGACTCTGATTGCCAGCTGGGCTGCTCTTTCCACAATAGCTTTGCGGTTCTTGGAGGAGACATTGTGAGCAATCTCTGCACAGTAAGATCTGGAAGAGAAGCAGTTAGTAAGGAGCAAGCCAGATGCACACACACTCCTGAGCTTCCCGGGGAGGGTGGCGGCTTTGGGTCACAGCAGCTCCAGAGCCACGAGGGCACTGGCAAAGCTGATGAAGACAGACACAGTCCCAAAGCCTAACTTTCCTAAATTCCATGGTACCAGCAGCGAGGCTCTTCAAGTATTCCCTGGCAGTGACACAAGTACTCATTGTCCCCTCATTTAAGCCTTAAAAGCAGATTTGTAATCCAGGTATTGCCTCCTCTTACAAACCATGACCCTTAAAGGTGGAAGTGAATTCCCAAGTCAGATATTTAGAAATGGACAGGGCTAGGATGGCTCAGTCCCAGATTCCAAGTTCAAACGTTCTCCCCCAATCCTTTCAGTCAATCTGCCCAACAGTCTCAGGGAGCTTGGACTTGACCATCAAGTTCTTAAATTCTCTGCAAAGTAAGCAAGAGAAGAATCCAACAGTCTGATTAAGCCAAGGATTTCCTGGCCTAGACATTAACATTTTACTTGTTTGACTGCTGCAGACAAAATTCAAAATTCAAATTGAGAAGTAACATCGCCTGAAAGTCACCCAGCAAGTAGCTATACCGAATATTTCCCAAGTATCTGGCTGCCAGATACTGTTCTAACCTACTCATTCTTCACAGCTGCACCAGGCCCCAGTTCAGTAACAAATTGGCTTACCGAGCACATTTTAGCGAAGTGATTTATGACACCATCAACATCTGGTTAAGAAAAGATACTCTAGGGGGCGCCTGGGTGGCTCAGTTGGTTAAGCGACTGCCTTCGGCTCAGGTCATGATCCTGGAGTCCCGGGATGGAGTCCCGCATCGGGCTCCCTGCTCAGCAGGGAGTCTGCTTCTCCCTCTCCCACTCCCCCCTCTTGTGCTCTTTCTCTCTCTCTCTCTCAAATAAATAAAATCTTTAAAAAAAAAAAAAAAAAGAAAGAAAGAAAAGATACTCTAGGGGCACCTGGCTGGCTCAGTTGGTAGAGCATGTGACTCGATTTCAGGGTAGCGAGTTCAAGCCCCAAGTTGGGCACAGAGCTTACTTAAAAACAAAATCTTTCAAGTATTTATTTAAGTAAGCTTAATGACTGAGCCACCCAGGCGCCCCTCAAAATAGCTGTATTGTGAAATGTTTCCATAATCTTTGTTTTCAACGCTGAAATCTACACCCCTACCGCAAGTCCTTATCCACATGTGTATTTAATAACCAATCAATCACTATACATATCGTCTTACTTACCTGTCTGCCTGGGCATTTTCCCCACACATGACAATCATTTTAAATACATGTCCAACACTCCACCCAGTGCCTGTGCTCCCACCATTCACAAATCGTATTTTCAATTGTTCAAACTGAATCGAACAAGTGATCATTGTTTCAAAATGCTCTTCATTTAGGGATAGATATCCAGAAATGGAACTTGTGGATTTAAGGTCCTAGCTTTCAAATATTTCTACGGCTCCTGACACAAACTGACAAGCTATGTAAAGAGTATCTTTCTGGCAACAAGCGACACTTGCACTGCAGCATTTCTGCTACACAACAGGTACTGCATCTGTCTGTCACAATTCTCCAACCACCCAATCGCAGTTTGGGCAGTCATCCCCAATTCCGATGCTCACCCAAGGATTTTCTAAGGAAAATTTCCAGGATTCCAACACCCAGTTACATTCCCAACTTAGAAAACGCAGCCACAAAGTGAGAATAATGGCTTCGTTTATTTCTATTACTTGTGTCTGCAATCGCTATAGATGAAAGATCTTTGTAAGCAAGCACACATACGTGCTACAGTTAGTCACCCTCCTTTCCACGTCCTAATTAGGAAAACACAGGTTTTCACCTTCTGTTTAATGGAAAGGGAAGAAAACGGTCCTCTGCTTAACCAAAAAAAACCACCATTCCCTCCAATCCGGATTCAAAGCATCTGAATCACTTCCCACATGAAATATTTTCTCACCCCACTGCCCTAGTTTTAGTCTAAGCAGACCACAAGTCTCTCTCACACAGAGCTCATAAAGTGTCTAACTTTCTCAAAATACTTTGAAGTAATGCTGTGAACCCTCCGTGCACTCTTGCATCTCTACAACTTTGTGTAAGCCATACTCTTCCTTTTCTCCACCTCAGATCACAGAGCTCTTAATCAGGCAGCAACTCGTCTATTCCTGTAGATTTCTGAAGGAAGATACCCATGGCCACAGCATGAAGTGCCCCTTAGGCCTGAGGCTATATTTGATCTCCCTGCTACCTCCACATAAAGCAATGTTCTGCAAAGAACTGCCAAAAGGATACCACAGTGTTTTTATTATTGGGCAAAGTCCTTCTCTTTCCAGATCTTGGGTCTCTACACTTTTCAGGACAAGTTCCCTTACCCTGCTCCAGCAAAGGAAACATTTCAAAGTCCCCAACAAGCATTCTTTAAGCTCCCAAGAGAATATACAACTCTTCCAAATGCATTCTGTAAGTCTAGAGTCCCTACCAAAAATGCTCACAGATGCAGACTTCTGACACCTGAACCCAGAGGTGGGACCCAACTCACTTGTTGCACATCAGCAGCACTTCAAGCTCCTTGACGTTGTGGACTAGGAACTTCCGGAAGCCACTTGGCAACATGTGCTTTGTTTTCTTGTTGCTCCCATAACCAATGTTGGGCATCAAGATCTGGCCCTTGAATCTTCTGCGCACCCTATTGTCAATGCCTCTGGGTTTCCGCCAGTTGCGCTGAAATAAACACAGGAGGGTTAGTGTCTTTGCTAACAACTATTCCCTTTGGAGGAAAAAAAAGGGGGGACCCAATGAAAAGGAAATATGCCAAACAGCAGCTGTCTTTGGGTAACAGTATTTCACTACATCTTTAGATTTTTTTGGGGGGGGGGTGGAAAAAAATAGGGGCTCCTGCATTTGACTACCAGGAATACAGACCCACATCCACACTCCTCAACAAAGGAAAAGCAGACTACATACTGATAGAATGTGAAGGGACTGTGTATACAGTTAAGATCAAGAGTGAAGAGCACGGGTTTCAGCACTGCACTCAAGATGTTAAGTTTTCTCATCATAAAAATAAGGATAATCTACTCTCAACGTCTTAAGGCCACCTAAAATGGTTCAAGTCTCTAGACACCTCAAAACAGCCAAGTGTCCCTGATCATTTAAATTTCAATTTATATTATAATCAAGTGACTGAGTGCCAGTAAGCATACTCAGGGAGACCTGGGTTTCTAGAAAGCTCTACCACCAACCAGACTGGTTCATCTGCCAAAGGTGATCTCTCAACCAGGTGATGCCAGAAGTCCAAGAGCCCATTCAGGAGTTCCTTTCTCCATCCCAAAGTACGCTTCCATCCCGGGACGATACATACCTTAATTTTGACATAGCGGTCTGACTGGTGCCGGATGAACTTCTTGGTCCTCTTTTTAACGATCTTGGGCTTCACCAGAGGTCTGAGGGCAGCCATGATGCCTTCAGGAAAGAGGGAGAGATGGTGTCAAGCGGTCCTGGAAGGAGGCTTTCCTGCTCAGGGCTTGATCATTGTTGCAGAGTGTCTTCCAATCACCAGCTACTGAGCAAACTGGGAATGGAATGGGTACCTCTGCCAGGCTTGCTTTCCCTCCCGACTCCGAAGCTGGCAGAATACTAACCACTCTCCAGACGCGATCCTGAGAGGTCAGGAGTCACCTCACCCACTACAGCCAAGGAAGAATGCTAACAGCTGATCTAAGACAAATCGACCCCCGAACGTTCTCAGCTTGCACAGGGCAGCAAATCCCACTTCCAACGTCCCAATCCCCAGATGGTCCAATTTCCTTTTAGTTATGCAGAACTTGGGCAATCTACAAGAACCGAAATGGGAGTGATCCCGCACACTGAATGCCTGCAGTGACTGAACCCGAAGAGATGGGAAGAGAAACCTTTGTTGCCCCGAGTGCTGTTGCTCTGCAATTCCCTCACAACAGGCCTACAAAGCCACGATGTACGTATGTTTCTAGACCTCTGAACTTCCTGTTCTACCTGGAGATCATCCGCGTCTCAATTAAAAACCCTCCTCAAAGCGGCCTTCTCGGTTACCCTATCCTTTTCGCCTGCAGCACTCTCTTTGTTCTCGTCTCTTCACCGCCTCTATTTCCTTGTTTAGCACCCGGTTAAGCGCCCAGCGAACGTCGTGTTCGGTAAACGAACGCACCCCCGCCCGCCACATTACATCCGCGAAGACAAGGACGCAATTTTATATTCCCAGAGACCCTGACCCGCCACCAGCATTTCTGTTAACGGAACTAATCGACTCGCAGCTCATGGTGGTTGGTCTGTTAAGTGGTCCGGCTGCAGCAGCAACCCCCAGACCGGAAAACTGCGGAGGAGGGAGCGTCGGTCTGCGCAAACAGAAAATACACGCGGGCACACGTGACTGACCAAGGGGATCCGAGTATTCCAGTCATCAAATCGGAACCCTCGCGTCGCTCCACGGCCCCCTCAGTCTAGACCCGAACAGCGACCTTCACCCCCAGGGCTCAAACCAGCTTGTCCGCAACTCTTAAGAGAGACACCAGGCGGCCTCCGTAGGAGGGCAAGTGGCCCTGGGAAGCGAACGTCCACCATCGACTGGGCCGCTTCGCTCTGTTCGTGTACGTCCTCCAGCCAACCGACAGGGACAAAGCCCACCAAGGCGACTGCTTGGAAGGGCAAGCCTCCTCACCACGAAGCGACAGGATCAGATGAAGGCCGCAGAGATGCAGATGGCCAACGATTAAAACTCACCCAGTAACAGAGAGCTGCCACCTCCACAGGCAGCGCCGAGGAAGAGGGGAAGGTGGCGCGCGAGGGCTGATGGGACTTAACCTCTGGGTCCTGGCAGGGAAAAAAGAGCACTTCCGGTTCCTGGTCCTTCAAAGAAAAGAGAGACACCTCAGAAAAATAATACTGAAAAAAAGTCGAGGGACACCTTTGTTTTCCTAGATGTTGATATCTCAGCGTAGTACTGAGAATTTTTCATATCTTCTGTCGGGACTACGTAGAACATTTGGAATTCTTTCTGAGCTTCTAAGACCTGGTGGGGGGACATAGACTTCCGCCAGAAATTGAAGCCATTTCTCCGGAGAAGAATTCAGTTTTTGGATTATTTCCGCCCGCGTTTCTTCTGCTACTAAGTGCGCCTCTTAGTGGCCAGGAAGGAACAAAACAGAGACTTCCTAATTCTCTCACGTGAACATATAGAGTAAAATAGCAATGAGACGGGACGCCTGGGTGGCTCAGTCGTTAAGCGTCTGCCTTTGGCTCAGGTCATGACCCAGGGTCCTGGGGTCGAGTCCCACATCGGGCTCCTTGCTCAGTGAGGAGCCTGCTTCTCCCTCTGCTTCTCCCTCTCCCTCTGTTGCTCCCCCTGCTTGTGCTCTCTCTCTCTCTGACAAATAAATAAAAATCTTGAAAAAAAAAAAAAAAGCAATGAGACTGTAACAGCTATCATTCAATGGGTTTTACTCTCCTTCTTACAATTCTGGGAGGTAGTTCTATTATTTTCCCCATTTTATACATGTAGAAAGGGAAGTTTGGGGATTCGACTCCAAAATCCACACTTCTAATCATTAGGCTAACCTGCTTAGTGTTAAATTGTTCTTGGTTTTGTTTTACTTAGATTTTGTTTTTAAGATTGTTGTAAAAAATCACATTTCAGGATAAAAAAATTGCACCTTGATTCCACAATTTGAACACAATACAGGTATCATCTTTTTTTTTAAGATCTTATTTATTTGACAGAGAGCTCACACAAGTGGCGGCGGGGGGTGGGGTGGGGTGGGGGGGTGGTGATTAGCAGGCAGAGGGAGAGGGGGAAGCAGGCTCACCACTGAGCAGGGAGCCGGATGTGGGACTCGATCCCAGGACCCTGGGACCACGACCTGATCAATTGAAGGGCAGACGCTTAACCTACTGGGCCACCCAGGCACCCCCACTGATCTAGATAGTAGTTCCAGGGACCAGATGGGGACAGAAGCTACAATGGATTGTGTTGTTCATTGGATGAGAAGTGAGAAGGGAAGAAAGGGTTGACAAATCCTTCAGGAGATTTGGACTGTAAAGGGTAGGGGCATTTGAGGAGACCCAGAGAAGTGAAATGTGAAATGTCTTGTCTGAGGTCACAAAGCTGGCAAGCAATAAGGTTGAGACTGGCACCCCTTTGTGCCTAGGACTATACCAAACCTCATGAATCCTGTTTATCCTGCAGGCTCTGGGAAGTCAGGTGGGATGCAGAGCATGAAATCACTTAGCCTAATAGCAGCCCACATTATGTGCATTGTGAAGGAAAAGGTCTTGATGGGGTCAGGTGGGCTAATCAAAGGGCTCATGAACTAGAGAGCATGTCTCCCAACTGTGAAAGACCCAAGAGGTTTGAGAAGCAGTAACCAAAATGGCTCCATCTTTGGGGGATGAGAGACCCGTTGCCACTGTATGTCACAGAGGAGGGCACAGGGTACCCACAGTGCCAGCTGCTTTCCCATGAGCCCTGAGATCCTAGGACAAGAAGCTGGAGGTGCCATGCAGGCATCCTTGTCAGGATCCCTGGGAATATTCCTGCTCTAGTGCCCCGGGCTCAGGACCCCAGCTTTCCAAACATTTGTCTGGCCACAGCTCCTGAGCAAGAAGTCACATCCGCTGGATCACAGGTGACATGAAAAAAACTCCAACCCGGTTTATTTCAAAAGGGCAGAAGTCAAGACAGGGAAATACTCAGAAACTGCATCTCTTTCCCGGGTACATCTGCCCTCTGAGACCCTGGATACTTTTGCTCTAGCGAGAGCTGGCTCCACACCATTCCACTGAAAGGATTTCTTTTATCTGGCTCTCGACACTTCCCCCGTGACTGTGGCTCTGGGCTGCGAAAGGCACAGGCCACAGCCCGAGGATGGCTGGATCCCACAACACCTGGCCACTCTAGTTGATGTAGTAGACCTTGGGGGCATCGTGATAGGCACAGGTCATGTAGTTCATGTTCCCAATGGGCCACCAGTGGTCGGGGTGGTAGGTGGCTGAGTAGGCATGGGGCTGGGGCTGGACGCAACTGAAGAGTGCCAGGCTCCGGTCCACGGCCACAGTGGGCAGGTAGAGCTGCAGCTTGTCCAGCAGGTGACCCGGCCAGAAGAAATTGGGGTGAGTTCGTTGTGGACCTGTGGGGCTCTTCACTTTCAGCTTCCTGGAAAAGAAGACAGAAGTGTGTCATGGCAGACTAGCCAGGGCCAGGGCCCCTGCTCAGCAGAGCAGACCAACTGTGACCAGAGTGGAGGGGTAGCATTGAGCTAAGTCCTTCGGCTCCATGCGGTCAGTGGGTTCTCTTATCCTGTCTACCTTACCAATGAGGACTGAAGGCCTAGGGAGGATAAGTCATTTCCCCAAAGCCACGCAGTGAGCAAGTGGCAGAGCGCGGGCTTGACGCCTAATCTGCTGCCTCTAATTTTTTTTTTAAGATTTTATTTATTTATTTGACAGAGAGAGACACAGCTAGAGACGGAACACAAGCAGGGGGAGTAGGGGAGGGAGAAGCAGGCTCCCGCCAATCAGGGAGCCCAATGCAGGCCTCGATCCCAGGACCCTGGGATCATGACCTAAGCCAAAGGCAGACGCTTTTTTTTTTTTTAAGATATTATTTATTTATTTATTTGACAGAGAGATAGAGAGTACAAGTAGGCAGAGTGGCAGGCAGAGGGAAAGGGAGAAACAGGCTCTCTGCTGAGCAGGGAGCCTGATGCGGAGCTCGATCCCAGGACCCTGGGATCATGACCTGAGCTGAAGGCAGCTGCTTAAGCGACTGAGCCACCCAGGCGCCCCCCAAAGGCAGACGCTTAATGACTGAGCCACCCAGGCACCCCTAAAACCCATATTCTTAAGTGTACACCATTTTCATGTGAGGGTCAGGGTATAGCCTCTGGAACCAGCATTGCTGGGTTCAAATCCCTGCTCCACTTAATAGATGGGTGACTTTGAGTAAGATCAATTTTTCTGTACCTCAGTTTCCTCTTCTGTAAAATGGGTATGCCAAGAGTCACTCTATAGGGTTGTTAAGAGGATTTAAATGAGCTAAAACACAGAACACACCACGGCAGTGTCTGCCTGGCACTCTAAGAGTTTTACTCCTTCTCAGTTCCTGGGCACTGAGCCCTAGATACTGTGCACCATGCAACATGCAGAGTCTCAGGCACCTCCTCCAAAGTCCTCCCTCCCACCCACCCCCTTCCAGAGTTGGATGATTGCTACAGACCTGGTGAATTCCTCAAACTCCTTAAAGTGTATTTTCTTGATTTTCTTCGATGTTTTCCTAGTGGATAAGAGAGGAAGTTCTCTTGTCAGGAGAGGGGAAATCCAAGTTAATGGGGCCTCAGATAGTACATGTGGGTGGGCCTGTCTGTGAGTCCAAACCAGAGCTCCAAAAGGAGAGTTTCTTCTACCTGAGGTGGGACCCTGACTCTGCCTCTCCATGCTCCAGTGGGACACACAGTGGGCTTGGTTAGCCAGGCCTGGGCTCACAACCTGGCTGGCTGGGTGACTCTGGGCAGGTCACTTCCCTTTGCAGAGCCTCTTGTTTCTTATTACCCAGAACAAACACCTCCCGGGGTAGCTGAGAGATGCTCAATAATCTGAATTGTTTGGGAGCCCCTGACTCCCACTTCCTCTGCCAAGGCTGAATCCAGCTTTTGGAACAAGAGTGGTGAAAACTAACTCTCCAAATCTTGGGCCTGGCAGACATCACTAATCGACCACAGACAGCACTCTTTCCCAGAAGGCCTGCATCTGGCCTCAGAATCTTTGACAACACAATTCAAGTAGCAAGATAAAACAAATATCCATCCCTGCCCTTCGGGCCCTCTCTTTATCCGTTATGGCTGTGGCCTACCTAAGCATGGACAAGAGTCCCTTTCTCAGGTTCCCACCCACTCCCTAGGTTCATGGTGCAGAAATGGAAGTCAGCCACCCAGGAGCTGGTATGCGCATTTAACAAATGAAAAGCTGAGGCTCAAACAGTGAAGCATCTTGTCCACTTAACCTGCAGCCTGTCTGATTTCCACTTGGCTCTGCTGCATCCTATCCGTTCTGGCCACACGGCCCCCGTGGGCAGCTAGCAGAGATCTAGAATGTGGGCAGTTCCTTATCCCCTCCCCCTTGTGGTCAGCTGGCCCCTCCTCATCCCACGTTAGCCCCATCCCTCCTAGGGGATGCTGCTCATTCTCCAATCTGCAGTCACCAATAGATGCTGGCTTTTCACCTGCCCAGGGGTCACCTCCTTCCAAAGAAGGACATTTCCTTATAGAGGACTCAGGTTGGTCTGAGGCTCAGCGACAGGCCCCAGTGCAGTTTTTTCCTTCTCCTAAGGGCTGCAAGCCCACTTCTTGCCAGAGAAGGCAGGACAAAGAAGGGACTGCCACCCCTGTCTTCTGTAGGGCCCCTGACAGCTGGCCCACGATTTGTGAAGGGCCTTCCCTATTTCTCGAAGAAGGCCCTCTTTTTCGTCTTTCCTAGAGAGCTTGAGATCATGTAGGATGTGGTCGGAGAGTAGCTGACACCGGACATCGGCCAACCTCAGGAGACCAGTGGGGTTGGACATGCTGGGCATGCTTGGACAGGCCCTGGCACACCATGACACCTCAAATAGGCCAGCATCCCACCCCCAGCGCTGAAGGAGCGGCACAG